GCTGTGATGCCTCCCAGCACCGGTATCAGCAGAGCCACGAGGCCTCCTGGCCCCTGGAGCAGTGTGACAGGGGGCAGCGTCCAAACCTCCTGATCACCCTGTGGCTCCGTGTGGGAGAGGGGGCGGAGCCACAACCTCCCTATCCGCCCTGCTCTGTTCGTGACAGGGTGTGTCTCTTGGTTGAGGACACTTTCTTCTTCCGCGCGGCCAGCATCTCGTAGAAGGGGTCCCTGCTGATGGCAGCCCTGGAACAGAAAGGGGCGGAGAGGCTGAGGGAGGGCGAGGACTCCTGTGCCCGCGCCCTGCCTGTTCAGGGCCCGCAGCGGCCGAGCCTGTTCAGGGCCCGCTGTGTCCGCACGACAGCGAAGGGACACGTGGTGCAGGCGATGAGCCAGCGGGGTGCTCCCAGGGCCGGACGGGGCGCGTTCTCTCAGCGGTGCTCTAACTTGGGCAGACAAGCGTGTGGCTCAGTCCCATGATGGCAGCTGGCGTCCGCCAGGGCAGTGACGCTGCGACCCAGCCAGCCCAGCGGCACCTGGTGCTTTCACAGGGCGGCCAGGTCAGCCCCGCGTCTATTTAAATGTGTTTATTGGTTTTGGAGAGGAAGGGAGAGAGAGAGAGAGGCATCAATGATGAGAGAATCGTCAATCAGCTGCCTCCGGCACACCCCGCACTGGGGATTGAGCCAGTGACCGGGCTTGTGTCCTGACCAGGGATGGAACCATGACCTGGTTCCTAGGTCAATGCTCAACCACTGAGCCACTCTGGCCGGGCCCAGGTCACTCTGAGTGCCTGCACTACTGGCTCCATAACCCGGGCCCGGCACTGGGCCCAGCACCGGAGGGGCTGCACGAGTGCCTGCCGAGCCGCCCTCCTGTTCCTCATTTTCCAGGCCGAGCCGGTCGTGCTCGGAAGGGCTGAACCTGAACTCGCTTCTCCAGAGAAGCGGCGGCCATGTGCCGACTGCTCTGGGGCAGCTCCCAGCCCTGGGCCCGCCGGCTCTGCCCTGACCGGTAAGTGCCAGCTCCTGCAAGCAGGGCGTTCACCAGCGACGCTGTGTCGTGAGCCATGTCCCCAGACCTCCTTGGGGATGCCAGAACGGGCAGTGCCTGCAGCGTGTCCTGAGGGGACCTCCAAGGTTAGAGGGGTGTTGTTTGCTCACAACTGGCTGGCCCGCATGGCGCTGGCTTTAGTGGAGATGCCGCCAAAAGGGCAAAGACTACAGAGCAGCAGACCTCCGGGCAGGCGGCCTCGCGGACAACGCCCCTCCCACGGGACCCGGCAAGGACTTCGGGCCTCCTCGGGCCTCGAGTCAGTGTGGCCTCCCTCGTCTCCGGGGGAGTCAGAGGCCGTCACAGGGAGACGCACAGGGAGCACTTGGGGCACAGGTGACGGACGAGGTGCGGGAGGGGAGAGCGAGGCGAGGCTGTGCCCGGAGAGAAGCAGCAGCTTGCATGGGGGCACGGCAGCGCCCCAACAGGCTTCACAGGCAGAACGGGAGCAAGCCTGTCCTGTGATCACCTCCCCTGCCGGCAGGAATGTGAGTGGGCCTCCCCCCACCCCCCGCCCACCCCGGGCCCGCAGCTCTGTCTGCACTTGCGCAGGAGCCTGGGCACCCCGCCCCCCCAGCTACGGGGCTTCAGGCCAACAGTTTTTCCTCGATGGGCCTCAGTTTCCTCATCTGTAAATGGGACTCAGAAATGACAAAACACAACAACCCCTATCACCAGAGCTGCCACCGTGAACACGAGACCTGCTGCCGAAGACCTGAGAAGACCAGCCCCGAGAAGGGCTCCTGGCCCCGCCCGCCCACGGCCTGCTCCCCGAGGGCTGGGAGGTCGCCTGGGAAAGCCAGGTCCGAGTGCTGTGACCCAGGAAAGTGACCCGCGGTCCCCGTCGCACTCCCAGGGCTTCAGAGCCAGGAGCACGCGGGCGGGAAGTGGGCGGGCGCGGGCGCTACCTGATGCGTCTGATCCACTCCTCCTTCTCCTCGGGCGTCGGGGCGGAGATGCGGTACACGGTGTGGTTGCCCTCCACCACGCGCCCGTCCGCCTCCGTCTTGCAGGCCTTGATGACCTGGTCCTTACTGTCCGGGATGTACAGCTCGAAACAGTTCTGCAACCAGAGCGGTCGTCTAAGCGATGCTGGGCAGGCAGCAATGACCTCGCCCCGAGCCTCCACGCAGGCCCACAACAGGCCGCGCGTGCTCCTGGGGCAGCGAGGGGCCGGCGTGGATGCTGAGACTGCAGGCTGTGTCTAACCAGGCCCCTGGGCAGACCCCCCAGACAAGCAGCTCTACGGGCGCCTGGACGAAGGCGGAGCCAGCAGCAAGGCTACGACGACGTCCGAGGCCCACCTCTCCCGCCAGGCCGCCGACCGAGTGCTGCTGCCCCTGGGGAGGGATGACCCACCCGTGGATGGTGAGTGAGTGACGCTCAGCAGGTGGAAGAACCAAGAAGCTACTGAGGCCTCGGCTTTGGCCTGAACACTGATCCAAGGCACGCAGTCTCCTCCGCTGCGTCTTTACGTGCCCTCGGCACTATCTTTCTCTGTGAAGAGCTGCACCACGCCTCCCCCCACGCTCACCGCAAGTACTCACTGGCTTCTTGGAGTCTTCCACCTCCCGGATGCTCAGGTTCTCCAGTGGGATGATCCCCCGGGGCTCCTTGTCCTGCGGGGGTTGGGAGCTTAGCCTCGGTGGGCGACACCCGGCTCCACACACCCCCGTGGGCCTTCTCCCACCTTCTCCTGCCTCAGCTGGGCCCACATCGATGCTCACTCAAGAACAGGGTCAGAAATCCCATGGGCGCCGTCTCAGCACCCCACCCGAGTCCCCATCACCAGAGGCCCCAGCAAAGAGCACGCTCAGGGCTCCAACAGATCCCGCAGGAGCCGTGGCTGGCCCTCAGCGGGAAGAGGCGGCGCTTTACACGGAACACGCGTGCCTCTGCCTGCCCTGCTCGTCGTTCAGGCCTCAGTGCTGGAGTCCGAGGGGCCCAGTGCCAGGGCTAGAGCTGTCCCAGGGCATTATCCGCTCATCACCGCCTCTCCTCAAACAGAGCGCGCCTCGTGACAACTCACCCAGGACCCACACGGGCACCTCAAGTCCCGCCCAGGACACAGCAACCTTGTTGCCCCCTCTCTGGCCCTCCTGCTGGGAGGAGCTGGTGATCCCACAAGTACCTACATACAGCCAGACAGCCAGACCGGTGACACACAGCCAGCCAGACAGCTCCACACAGACAGCCAGACAGGTGACACACAGCCAGACAGGTGACACACAGACAGCCAGATAGCTCCACACAGACAGATGACACACAGACAGACAGCTCCACACAGACAGACAGATAACACACAGCCAGACAGACAGGTGACACACAGCCAGACAGCCAGACAGGTGACACAGACAGACAGCCAGACAGGTGACACACAGACAGCCAGACAGCTCCACACAGACAGACACACAGACAAATGACACACAGACAGACAGCCAGACAGCTCCACACAGACAGACAGCTGACACACAGACAGACAGGTGACAGCCGGACAGACAGACAGCTGACAGCCTGGCCCCAGGCGCAGGTGCCAGCAGCAGCTCACCGTCGTGTACTCAAAGTAGTACAGGCAGTTGTCGGTCAGGATGAACCAGCGGCGTTTCCAGGTCTTTACCCGACCACCTGAGAACAAGAAGAGACGCGTGTGGGACGGGAGGCGCCGGGCAGGGCGGCCCGCAGCACGCAGCCCCCTCCGGGCGAGGAGGAAGCGAGGGCAGGGCCCGGGGGACACGGAGACCATGGCAAGGCTGACATCGGTGACAAGACAGGGCCAGACAGAAGCACCTTTCACGAGCGCAAGTGTGTGGCACGAGCACAGCAAGCAAGCGAGGCGGCGCCCGAGACGAGGCCAGGACAGCGATGAGGATGAGCACGGGGGGGGGCGGGGAGCCGGGATGCGAGGGCACGCCGCGCAGGTCTGACTGGGGCTGGGAGCTTCTCTCACACAAAACGAGGGGAGAGGGCCAGCCCGTCCGCGATCAGCCCCGCGTGGAGCTGCTGCATCAGTGGGGAGGGACGGGGAGGAGGACATCATCCCGTCTCCAGGGAACCAGCTCTCCTGGACATGGGACCACACCTTCCTGGGGCCACGAACCCACTAGCTCCCGCCTCCGGACCAGTGTCCTCACCGGGGACACCCAGAGTCCTGTCTCGGGGGACTCCCGGCAGCAGGGCGTGCTCACAGGAGACTTGCAGCAACAAGCAGACGGCCTCCTGAGCACCGAGTGCAGCTGCGAGCTGGGGGGGTGCCCTTGTCCTCAGCTAGAAACACGCAAGTGGCCCGACATCCTGGGGAGGTGGCCGGGAGACTGGCCTGGCTGCGTGGACAAGCCCTCCTGCCTCGGTCACGACCATCCTTTTCCCTCCACGTGACGTAAGTGGAGGGAAAGCTCGCTGCGCGTGAGCCTACACCATGACCCAGAGGCCTCAGTGCCGACACGCGTGGCTCTCTAAGTGCGCGTCCTGTGGGCGGCACAGGCTCTGTCCGCCAGCACGTCACTACGGAGAGCAGAGCATTGCTTCCCCGATCTGCACAGAGGCGAGGGCTTCCGTGTGCAGCCAGTGTGCCCTGCTCTCTCCTCCCTCCTTGCAGAGAGACGGGGGTTTGGGGGGAGCGTTTCCCACCACAAGGAGGTGCCTGCGGGTGAAGAAAGCCTGCAGCATAGGTCCCTGTGCAGGGTGGGCTCTGTGTGGGGCCTGAGCTCCTCCAGGAAGGAAGCGGGGAGGAGGGGGAGGGCTGACCATTGGCACCAAGGTCTGAATGGCACAGCCTTGGCCAGGGGCGGGATTGGCCACCCGCCCTGAGCGGGGCCGGGCAGGCTGGCCCCTCCCCACAGCGGTGCGGGTACGTGAGCGCAGGCCTCTGGTCCCGAAGGCGAGGGTGAGGGGCGTGGATGGAGATGTGACATGCACGTGGGAATGGGAAGGCTGGGCAGACCGAAGGCGTGAGGAAGGGAAGACACGGATTTCCTTAGAACTGGAGCCATTTGGATGTAAAAAGGACCCCTGCCCATCTTGGGGTCCGAGAACTCAGCTCTTCTGCCTCTTGGGCCTCCATCCCCACACAGGGCTCAGCACCCAGGACACCTGGCCCCTCGCTGCTGACCATGCACTTCCCTCGCGGGACCCCCGGGACTTGGGGCTCAGGAGGCCATGGGAGGTCAATGCCAGGGGGAGGGGGAGTCTAGTAGCAAAAGCAAAGCTGGGCGCCCTCCCCGATGGAAAGGCTGGCGGTTCCCTGAGCCCCTGCGGCGTCACAGACTGCCCGGCAGCTCCACTGCGTCCCGGGGGGACACTGCGTGGGAAGAGCAGAGTGGGACAAGCAGACAGGTCAGTGCGCACCTAGGACAGTCCCTGTGGAACTCACAGGGCCACACCGCTCAGTCCCGCCCGAGGGGAGGCAGAGGCAGAGGCAGCTGCCAGTCCCCAACGCTATCATACGTCACTGCTCGGTGGCTCTTTCTCTGGGCGGCTCTGCCACGTCGAGCTGAGCCGACGCCTGAGGAGCTCCTTGCCTGGGAGAAGCACGTTCCCCAAACCATCACGTGCAGAGGGACCCCGACAACTAACTAAGGCCGATCTGGGGTGTTTAATGACGACTCATTGAAAAAAAGGAGGGAGAAAAACAAGACAAAAAACAGAGCCAAGCCCGGCCGGCGGGGTTCAGTGGCTGAGAGTCGACCTATGAACTAGGAGGTCACCAGCTCGATCCCCAGTCAGGGCACAGGCCCGGGTTGCGGGCTGGATCACCAGTGCGGAGCGTGCAGGAGGCAGCTCACCAGTGATTCTCTCTCATCGTTGATGTTGCTATCTCTCTCTCCTCTCCCTTCCTCTCTCTGAAATCAATACGTACATATTTTAAAAAATATTTTAATAATAAAAATATAAAACAGAGCCAAGGTTGGAATGCCCTCCCCGACACCTAGGACTTGAGCAAAGGGGCGTCCGGGCATCCTGGTTCTGTCTCCGTTCAGTCGCCCTGGGCATTGTCCTGCGTTTAGGAACCACATCCCCCAGGTGCCTCTGGCACGGCGGACGGAGCCCGGCTCTGGGCGTCGGACGCCCCTCTCCACTGTGGGGGTGACTTTCTCAGCAAGGGCGCTGGATCCCACCACACAGCCCTGCGTGGCCAAGGAGGAGCCGGGGTCCCCTGGCTTCTCGCACTGCCGCCCGCAGGGCAGCGACTGCCCCTGGCGCCTCCCTGCCTGGCCACCGGGGCCACTCCTCAACGGGACCGGACCTGCCCAGTTCCCCAGGGACTGTACGAGAAGTTAGAAGCGGCATTAACACTACCACCAGCAACTGAAACAGGCCACCGAGTAACAAAGCCAGAGGCTGCAGCAGTCACAGCGCCGGGCGGAGCGCGAGCAGGGCGGGGGGTTACATACCTCCTGGAGTTGGGGGCAAGGAAAAGGAGCCAAAACCACGGAAACATACAAACGAGGGAGAAAAGAAAATTAAAACAAAGAAATCAAATCCACCTCCTAGTGCAACGTATTAGTCATTCACGACTGCTGGGGGAGGGGCGCGGGGCTGGGGCAAACATGGCCCCCGGCGTGCTGCTGCCAGGCCACGCCCCATGGGAAAAGGGGATCCCAGGCATTGCCGAAACCTGCCCCCGCGGGCCCCCAATCAGCTCATGAAGCGGCCACAGACCGGGGTCCAGCACTCCCAGCAGAGTGAGGAGACGGGGGAGTGGACTTCCCTCAGCGGTGGCACTGTTTCGTGTGTGTGAGAACGCACACGCAGACCCACGCATGCTCGTGTGCGTGTGTACACAGAGTGCACGCTCTGTGGCGATACGGACACACACCACGCCGGGCAGCGGTGAGGCCCCGAGGACGGGGTGGTGGGGCTTTGGGAAAGGAATGCAGTGACCCACACGGGAGACCACGCTTCAACTCTTCTTTTTAAAAACCATGGGGAGTCTCGGGCATCTGCGTGTCCTGGTACCGGCACCGAGGCGACCCGTGCTGATCTGATCTCGGCCTCGCCGGCCACGCTACCTCCCTGCCCCGCATCAGCGCTGACACAAACCTTGCTGGAGGGACGTACGTGCAGATGCGCGTGCCGTTCCCTTCCCAGCGGCTCCCTTTACACCCGAGCCACATGGCGCGGAGGGTGCAGAGCGGCGTGGCTGCCTCTGTGGTTGGTAAGTGAGAGCCTGAACCTCAAGGACCCACTGGCTAGAGGTGGAGGGGGCGCTGGCTGAGTGAGGAGCCCAGGACTCCCGCAGCTTCAAGAGCGCACAGGCGAGTCATTGGCACAAACACGGGCTGGGCTTTCAGAGGAAATGGAGGCCCTGCCGCTGTCCCGCCAGCCAGCGCTCCCACGTGGGTCAGCAGCGGCTGAGCGACTTTGACTTCCCGCCTCCCGGGCAGATGCAATGGGGAGCAGGACCCGCTCCCGACGCCCTGACAGTGTGGGGCCCGGGCTCGCCAAGGCCGAGGCAGAACAGAGCACTCTCAGCGGCCAAACCCTGGCCTCGCCCCTCAGGCTCCTCTGAGCTCTGGACGGTTGATGGAAGCCCCTCCCTTCTCCCTCCTGGTCCCTCAGCCCCTTCCCGGCCACGTCTCGGCCATCGAGCTCATGGGCGCCCCAGGGAGGAGGAGGAACTTGTTTTCTGCATGGAGGGCATTAGCGTGGCTGGGTTGGGTGTGCTGCGGGGTGCACACAGCCGGGCCGAGGTTCGCCATGCACACGCCCGTGAGCCAGATGCAGAGCATGATGATGCTGGGGGTGCGGGGTGCACGTGTGTGATGGGAAGTAGAGATGGACGCAGCTGGCCACCGCCAGTGAGCGAGAGGGGGCGGGAAAGAGGAAGGACCGGGTGCGTGGGGTGCAAATGCACGCGGCTGTTTCATGGAGAGGGAAGTCCCCCCGCACTCTGGTGTCCCCTGGGGCACTGACTGGCTTCCATTTCCTTCTGGAGGTGGGTTTCGTGGTAACAGTGTGGATGCCTCCCGAAGGCCCGCCACAGCGCCTCCGTGAGCACCCGTGTTCCCACGCTCGTGCACGCATGTGCGCGCGCCCTCACAGGGCCGAGTCCGGGCTGAGTGGAGGGGCCTCACCGAGCTTCAGGAGCCAGCCCTCGCGGTCCGGGTTGAAGAAGGTGTGAGTGAGGTCGTTCCCGTCGTCCTCCGGGATTTTGAAGGGCTCGTTTTTGATGCTCTCGTAGAGGTTCTGGGAGAGACAGCACCGCTTGCCTCTGGTTCTACAAACACTGCCCCCCTCCTCGTGCCTCACCCCCAGCAGCACCCTGCACCCGGAGGCCACACGCCTCTGGGCAACAAGAACAGAAGAAACAGCTCCTGCCTCGGGCGACTCCGGAGACAAAAAAGGACGAGTCTCAGGCCAGCCCGGGAGGAGAGAAAGCAGCGTGTGCCAGCTTCCCGTCCATAAACCACCGTCCTGGCCCCTGGCTGGGCCTCCCACGGCTCCTCAGGAACACGCACCACTCAGCGCGAGGACACGCCCCCGACGCGCACTCACCCGGAGCAGCTCCTCGGGCAGGTCCCCGCCGTCGTTGATGCCGCGGTTCATGGCGATGAACCTCTCCACTGTGGGCTTGTCTTTGACGTTGGGGTTGTGCAGGCTGGTGTTCAGCATGATGATGGCGAACGAGAGGACATAGCACGTGTCTAGAGAGAAGCGGAGAGGCGCTCAGAAGTGCCCACGAGGAGCAGGGCACGCGGTGGCGTTGAGGCCGGGACACGGTGGTGCCTGGCACTGGGTACTGGGCAGCTGGGCCGCCCCGGGAGAGCCAGGCGACAGACAGTGTCCAGGACTCAAAGGGGCCCCCTTTCTCAGACCGTAATGGACAGCACCCCGCAGAGCACTGGGAGAGCCACACCCCGCGAGAGAGAATCCGTTACGATCTCCCCCGCTTGGCGGGCGCCTACGCATTTACTCCCGTCTACATGGCCCTCCAGCGGGAACACGTGCACAGTGTCCTCACTGAGCCACGCTGTGACTAAACTCAATTAAAACAGGCACGCAGTTTGAGTCCCGATCTCATTAGCATTTTCCTATGTCAATTAAGAACTTTTACAACATGATTTTGAAGTGACATAACTGAGAGGCCACGATTTACATGCCTCCTCCCTGTGGCTGGGTTTCTGGGGGGTTTGCTACTTTTTCCTGCTGCGAACGCCCCCGCACCGACGTGCTCAGGCAGGCGCCCGCCCCCCCTGCAAAGCGCTGGGCGAACGCCTCCATCATCCGGTCGATCTTCTGAGCCTCTCCCGGCAGCCGGAAGCTCCACAGGAACTGCCTGCGAGAGGGAGACGCTGTCACGGGCGGGCACCTTCACTTCCCCGGGACCTTCCTCCCGAGGCCCAGGGACACGCGCGGGGCGAGGCTCCCGACGGTGACTCGGCTCGGGCACCAATGCGCCGTTGCACATCACTGCGTCCCGGGCACAGGCGCGGTGCCGAGAAGCAGTGACCAGCACTTCCCAAAGAAAAGAGCGGCTGTCCTAAGAACCACACACGGACTGACACACGGCCAGTGCTCTCGTAGGTGAGTCCGGCTTCCGGAGCATGGGGTCGGGGTGGGGTGGAGCGGTGCAGGCCAGACTCTCCCGCCCCTCACGGTGGCCCCTTTGAGCCAAGACCCATGGCCACAGGCTGACCTGTCCGCTCAGAGACAGCACAGGAAGCGAGGTACACAGACCCCACGCAGGCAGAACACCCGCGGTAATTTCTCAGAGCACAAACGAACGGGTTCAGGAAAAATGAAAGTTTACTTTTCTCTTTCTAAAATGAGGGGCACAGGTACCTACTTCCTATCCCAGGGCTAAATTAAAGTGTTTTCTAAACTAAAAATTGGGAAAGACTTCAAATTTTAAGTACACGTCAATCTCCAGGAAGAATATTAACTGAAGAACCTGAGGGAAGGTTTTGCAAAGTTTGCCCTCAGAACACAACGTGGTTCCCTCACTTCCACCATCATCCCAGTCACTGCCCGCAGAGGGCATCTCTTAGGGCACTTCTGGGTTCCCACAAGCCCAGCACTGCCATTTCCCCACAGGGCCACCCGGGGGCAGTGCCATTTCCCCACAGGGCCACCCGGGGGCAGTGCTATTTCCCCACAGGGCCACCCGGGGGCAGTGCCATTTCCCCACAGGGCCACCCGGAGGCAGTGCCATTTCCCCACAGGGCCACCCGGGAGGCGGAGCTGAGACCTGGCCCCACTTCCAGGCATCGCCTGCCTGCACTCACCGCAGCGCTTGGACCAGGTTCAGGTCGGTGAACTCGTGTAAGCCCACAAACACGTGGAGGACCTGGATGTTAAACGCGTCTCTATCAAGAAAAACAAGACATGGGGTGGGAGGAGGGGGGTGGGGAAAGCAGGTGTCAGACCCTGGAGTCCAAGGGCATCCCATCCCCACCCCCAGCCCGGCAATTTCCTTGTCCCCGAGTTCTGCCTCCTGTGAGCTCAGGAGCAGCAATGGGCCAGGGAGGAGGCACCGTCTCCTCTGCCTCTGTGAGCGGGCGAGGCACCCTCACACCAGCTGCTGCCCCCAGGGCCACGCCCCTCAGCTCATGAGGATGCTGCTGCTTCAGGGCAAACTGCCATCAAGAACCCAGCATTCTCAGCCAGCCAGTGTGGCTCAGTGGTTGAGAGTCGACCCATGAACCAAGAGGTCACTGGTTCGATTCCAGGTCAGGGCACAGGCCCGTTGCGGGCTCCATCCCCAGTGTGGGGTGTGCAGGAGGCAGCCGATGGACATCTCGCTCATTGACGTTTCTCTCTCCCCCTCTCCCTTCCTCTCTCTCTAAAATCAATAATAAACAACCTGTGAAAAGAGAAGCCAGCATCCTGAGGCTTTCCGTGTGACTCGGCCTCCAGCTCCCGCCGCGCCCTGGCCTCACCTCTCCCCCAGGTAGTCGCCGATGGCCGTCTTGTTGAGCCCCTCGCCTTTGTACAGGAACTGGGCGATGTCCTCACAGGTGTTCTTCAGCAGCTCGTTCTCTATCAAGAACTGGATCCCCTAAAAACGCAACGAAGATGCGGTGACGCGCACCCCGGAAACATCTAGACAGGAAGCCAGGCACGGGACGAGGGGTATGGTGCCCCGGACACAGGGGCGTGTATGATAAACACGCCGCTCACAGCGCCGGGCCACCTCGTGGGCTGAGCCCGCACAGCGGGTGAGGGGAACCAGCACCTGAATGCCCGGGGCCCCCGCGTCCTTCGCTCTTACCTTTTTAGGGTCCATGTTAAATTTTTTCCTGCCCATGGCCACCTGTTTGTTCCTCTGCATGTTTTTCCTGTAAAACAACCCCAGCAGCCATGTCAGTGCTGGCACCGGGAGGGTCTGGAAGACCAACGTGACTCCCAGGCACGCGTGGTGATGCGGGCTCTGAGGGGTCTGCCGTCCACCCGGGAGGCCCGCCCCGACCGGGCCTGCGCGTGCTCCTTCCCTCGGGGCTGTTTCCCATAGTGTCTGACTTTATTAACCTCTTCTTCCCACGCCACACACTACCCCAGGCTAGAGTCCCGAGACAGCCAGCAGTTTGCTAAGTTGTGCAACTCCTACCAGCCAGTCTTCACACGTTCGTCCCGCAGGAAGCGGAAGTCACCCCCAGCTGTTCGTCCCTTCTCCTGCCGGTAGACACTGAACTATTTCCATTTGGGCTAGCTATATGATTTATATGAAAGCCAGCCCCCGGAACGCCGTCACAACCGGAACGACTGGTCGCTATGATGTCCACTGCGGTCAGCCAACTGGCCAGATCAGGCCCCTCCTCCCATCATCCCCCCTACCCCAATAGGGGGCAGGGCCGGTCAACCGCCTGCAGCCCCTATCCCATTAGGGGGCAGGGCCGGCTAGCCAACCTCCTGCAACCCCTTCTCACACCAGCCCCACCCCA